GGGGGGGGGGGGGGGGGGGGGGGGGGGGAGGGGGTAAAAGTCTCATTAACAAGACAAAGCACCCATTTCACCTTTACGACTCTGCAGTGTTCTCAGGAACTGTGGGTGAGGACCATCTATACCTGGGAAATACATATTTGGTCATCCGAGTGGCCAAATATGTATTTCTTATAACTCACTATACCACAATTTTCATTTAAAGCCAAATTCAATATATATATATATAATTTTAGAAAATATTAATAAAAGTTTTCTATATTTTATTCTTAACTTGCATAAATTTTAGTCTTAGAAATTTAAAATATAAACTGAATTTCCTGAAACCTTGGTGACACGTCTATTTTTTTTATGTAGTTACTAGGAACAGTGCTTACATGAATCTTACTAACATTAGGTAAGCAATAGATCTCTGTAGAAAACTGAAGACTTATATAGTAAGATTTAGGATTGAGCCTTAGTATTTCCTTAGTATTTACATAATCATCTGGGAGGCGCGGCTTTGCTGGCTGCACGTAGTAGAGTTGTAAGTCACCATCGTTTTTAATCTCTTTTTAATTAAGCCTCTGTTATTTCCATAACACTCATACGGCCCCTCTACCTGGCAGGGAGCATTTTTCTTAGGAGATCATTTTGCTTAGATGAATTTTGCTGAGAAGGGAATAGAGATTTAGTTTCTAACCTTAAGGAAGTAGCATAGATTAGAGTAACTTGTTTTTGACGACAAGAGTGGATAGTAACATGTTGTTGTATCACACTGATCAACCACAGAAGCGAAAGATGGCCTGAGAGCTAGATTTTGGGAGCAGCCCTATCTGTCTGTTTGCATCTTGCACAAAGTATAGCGCTGTAGGATGGAGTATGTCCTCTTACGTTCGAGAAAAGGAATAATCAGCAGCCCATCGCGGCTCGCTTGGTGAGACACCGGACCAGAGCAAGCACGGAAAGAAAAGCAAGGGGCAGACAGTTTGATCTCCTAAAGGTGCGAAGCCAGAGCACTTGAATTTTGTCACCAAAACCATGGAGGCCAGGGAAGCAATCTTAATAATTCGACAATGGCATGAGATGTAATAGATATCAGGCTTAAATCTTGGCACTCTCCCTGACTGTGTGCCCTTGAGCAGAGTACTTAACCTTTCTGAACCTCAGTTTCCTCATTAATAAATATGGGATAATGTCTACCTTGAAGATTTATTCTCAAGGTTAAATGAGACGTTGCAATAACAATGCATGGCACACACTAGAAGTTTAATAAATGCTTGTTTTCTCCTTGAAAGGGGTTAATTGAGGACTGTATCAAGGTCCCCAAGACCACCCGAGGTTTGATGACTTGCTAGGAGGACTGACTACTCACAGGATTCGGCAGCTAGTTTAGTCACAGCTCAGGTTTACTGCGGTGAATGGGTACAGGGCAAAACCAGCAAATGGGCGTGGTACGTGGGGTGAAGGCCAGAGGAAGCCAGTCCGGGCCTCAGGAGCCCTCCCTAGTGGACGCACCCAGGACATGCTCAGTTCCTCCAGCAGTGAGTTGTGACAAGGACCATGGAGTGCTGTCGCCGTGCTCAGGGTATTCCTGGGGACTAGCCATGTAGGCACCCTCTGCCTGCTATGTTCTAAAGTTCCAAACTCCCAGAAGGAAAGCAGGTTCGACCATGTTGTTGTATAAGCAGTAAGCACCACGAGCTTCTCTTCACAGTTCTGGGGGTGGTGAGAATCTTCCCAAATCTAAGTTCCCCAACGCCAGCCAAGGCCAGGCTTGTGAGCAGGCCTTTCTAAGAACAGCAGCCTTCAACCTGCCATATATAGGACAAATAAATACCTTAAATGGGGAGAAAACATACAGGATTGGTTTTTCTCAAGGAATGATACAGTAACTAGTATCAAAAAGAGGATGTTTACATGGTGCTGGCTGACTAATAGATACTCACTTTTTATATATTAAAAATACAATCCTAAGAACTGCTGGAAAATTCCATTGAAAGCACTAATGACCCTTTCCTCCTACAGGAATGGTAGCCGATTTGCGTGCTGCCCTCAATAAGTGGTTACTTCTTAGATGCTTTTGTCTGGTTATTATTTAGATGGTACTTCAAATCCATGTTGACTCCAACATCTTGGTGTTATCTCCCACAAGGTGCTGACAACAGAGTCCTGCTAGCGAACTGGCTGGGCCAAGAGCTTGGGCCAGAATAGTCATTATTAGATCCTTTCCTTGAAAGTGTGTGCTTCGACTCAGAATTCCTCCACTGATAAGGGAATTCACTTACCTGACAAAGGAATAGTGCAAAATTACGTTTTTGTTGAAAAAGCTCAGGCGAAATGTTAAGTCTAGCTGTTGTTAATACCAATAATAAATGTGTGGGGCAGAGATCTGTACCTAGGGTTCAAGCGATGCCTTTTAGAGGGTCTGTGAACATACATGCCAACCATGCTTAAAATTTGTTTATGTATATTTTTCTTTTTTAAAGGTCTATCGATTTTATCAACTTCAAAGCATCTTGGCTTCAATAAAGAGTAGAGCTTCTGATTTAGAGGCAAAGACATATAGGAAAGGCATTTGTGTGGCTAGTTTTTTGTATGATTTTCCAGAAGAGTGCTCTAACTTTAATGTGTCTTCTTTGTAGGTATTGTACTGATGATATGTTGCAAAGGGAAATGATGTCCAGTCCTTTTCTGGGTAGCTATGGGGTCATCATCTTGGACGACACACAGGAAAGAAGCATGGCTACTGACGTGTTGCTTGGACTTCTTAAAGGTGTGTTACTAGCAAGACCTGAACTGAAGCTCGTAATTAACTCCTCACCTCACCTGGTCAGCAAACTCAGCTCTTACTATGGAAACGTGCCTCTCATTGAAGTGAAAAATAAGCACCCAGTGGAGGTTGTGTACCTGAGCGGGGCTCAGAAGGAGCATTTCCAGTCTGTTTTACACCTTATCTTTGAAATTCACCAATCTGGTGAGAAAGGCGACGTTGTAGTCTTTCTGGCCTGTGAACAAGTAAGTAAGTAATATTCTGATCTAACAGAATAATAAAGTTACCTATTGGAAATCTTTTAACTTTGACGGAAAGCTTTTCATAACTAACATGCAGGGTTCAATGTGCTAATTAACTATTTAAATACTTTCCATCACACCTGATTGTTTTATACTTTAGAAGAAATGTTGATAGAGTAAACAAAGCCCGTGCTGAAAGGAGAACAAGGAAGTGTGTCTAAAATCACACCCTGTTCTGAAAACAAAGACTGGGCGAGGCACCTCAGGAGAGTGGAGAAAGAGGTCCCAGGGCTGACGGCCTTTTGCCGGATGCAGGGCTGCCGGGCGCAGAGCTGGTACCCCGGGAGCCTGCTGTGGGCGGCCTAGGTGCGGAGGGTCCGTGCTGGCTCTCATCACACCCGGCTGCCTCCCCCACAGGCCGGAGCGTATGTTGGAGACTAGGTACTCGTCAGAGACTCAAGAAACAGAAGTATCCACAGATGTTCCTACAGCAGTCGGCGGAGAGCTGGGCAGAAACGCGATTGACAGTGGGCTGTCTAGCCTAGAGGGCTGCCTCCCTGCACTAGGGCTCCTTTTCTTTAAAAGACAAATGAAAAAAAAATCTTAACCAGGATTCTGGAAATGTCTTTGCCAAGGAATTGAGCGGCTGTTAGGCTTTTATATGGTCGAGGTTCCCTTGGGTCGCGTTTTTCTATTGCAGCTTCCCCGGCCTACTTCTCCACTATATTGGCTCCATCTAAAGGCCTCCAGAATCTCAAGAATTAGACTTTTCTTCTTAAAGACGGATTTCTTGGCCTTTTTTTCCCTCTCTGTCATCGCACCCAGAGAGTCTAAGTACTAGTTTCAGACCATGACCAGATATGTAGTGATTCCAGTGATTGAGCAGGAACCAAACAGGAAATCGTTTGATACTGACTAAGCCACCGGCTGAACTGTACAAGCATCTCAGCCCTGGAGCAGAGCCCTTCTGACCAGGCACATCCTCCAGCCGCGCCCAGAGCATAAGGGGTGAGGATCTCCTGGCTTTGGGAACTCCTTAGAGAAAGTACTTTAGAATTTCAGTGATGTGATAGGTCCAACATATTTATTGATTTTCCATGTGTAGATTATACACAGTTTCTTGAATAATAGATCTTCTACCTATTTCTGTCATTTTATTATCATTCTCTAAACCTGCATGATTCAAGATATTCAAGAAAGTAATAAAATGATGAAAGAGGAAGGAGAGGATTTATGAAAACAGGTTCTCAGTGTCACTGGGTGAAGGCTTAAGAAGGGAAGAATGGCAAAATTAGAAGCCTAAAGCATTTGAAAGTTAGAATTTCTGGGTGAAAAAGACTTACATTTCTGCGAGTATAAAGTGTAATTAAGGCTGATAGGATGAATAGTCACCCTGCAAGTCAGAGTAAGCAAAAATTTCAAAGTGGATTTTTGAAAACTAAAGCTCAACAGAATTGGGGGTAGTGGAAGGTCTGAGAGTACTGGATTCTTAAAAGTTTAATATAAGCTATAATGAGTGACATAGTGACTTGAATTGTCAGACTTGAGAAGATGCATTTTTACCTCGGCTTTTGGAAGACACTGTAAAATCTCAGGGCTGAAGAAGATATGTAATTGAAGTCGGACCAGAAAGACATTACCTAGTAAGAAACCATAGTCTTGCAGAGCCTCAAAACCTTGAGATTGATCATGCAGTGAAAGCTACGGGTGGGTTTGGCAGTTCCGAGCCTCCAAGGAGGATGCAGTCTGGGCGGGGCTGCCGTCCGAGGGAGCTCTCTTCGCTGTCCAGAGCCTCCCAGCACACTGCCTTCTCTGACTCTCTGACGGTGAAGTAACGGCTGTGGAGGCTTGCTGGATGGAGGTGGTCATCCGGGACAAATGCGTGTGTGTCCTTGGAGGGCCATGCAGCAGCCAGATGCAGGGAATCGATGCGTCTTCGTTCATCATGAACTATAGTCATGCTCTTTCCAGAGTAAAAATCTGCCCCAAATATACCGATTCTGCAGAAAAGAGGAGTGTGAGCAGGAGAAGGTTCCCGATCCTCCTTATGTGGAAGCCCAGTGGGCATCCTCTGCCCCTGGTTCCTGAGGCTGCTGAGGAGCTCGGGAACAGCTTTATAGAGACCTGTGATACCTGCTTTTTTTCTAGGTGGATCTGTCCTCCCATAAACCCAAGTTAATTCCATCCCATTTTACAGTGGTATGGAAGCACGGAGAAGTGAGCTGTGCACTGGAAAATGGAGTCAGCCTTAAAAACTATAATGGTCCTGGGAAGTCATCTCTTCTACTTAGATTTTTAGTGAAATCTGATGAACCTAATGAAGTGAAATGGAGATTCTTCCATTTGGTAGTTTGTCAGGCCTACAGGAAGGTAGACAGTGTGGAACCTTAAATTTAAAAGGTGTAAGAATTACATTAAATGACATCATTTTTGTATGTTTCTAAAAAAACTAGTTTTGAGAAAAATGCTATCTAAATTTTCCTGCCTTTTCAGCATTTTGCTCTACTTACTTGTGTGTAGTTTTAGTGCAAATAATTTATTTTTTTTCCTACTGTATTTGACAGTGAAACATTTTTAAAAGGTATTTCTAAATGGCTGATTCATGCAAACATGTAAATGGCAGTGAATATTTCTTACCTACTTCATTGCATTTCTGCTACTTAAAAGTGCTAATGGGTCAAAACAATTTTCAGAATGACTCAGAAAGTGACCCTGATCATGGAATGAGTTTGTATACATGCTCATATTGGAAATCTAGGGATTGTTGTGTGATTCTCAGTCCTGCCAGCGTTAGAGCATAGTGAGGCATCGTCATTGGTGCGAGTCAACACTTCTGATCGCATCATGATAGACAAACAGGATGAATGCATAAAGGCAAAGATGGTACGTTTCACAAGAGTAAGACCAATTTGGACTAAAAAACAATGAAATTGTTTATAAATTGTATTTAACATCCCCAAAGAAATGTTCTGATCCAGTTATAACTTCTTTTTGTGTTAAATGATACACACACAACACAGGTCTTTCCCAGTATACATTTTGCAGCTCTTGCCTGTAATTTTATTTAATCCAGACATTCTTTTAAAGTAGTGAAGCTGTTTATAGTGTACTTTATTCTATGGATGATTTGTTTTTTCACTTTAGGATATTGAAAAAGCCTATGAAATTGTTTGTCAAGAAGGATCTAACTTAAACCCAAATCTTGGAGAGCTGGTGGTGGTTCCTTTGTATCCAAAAGAGAAATGTGCGTTGTTCAGGCCAAGTGATGAAACAGAAAAAAGATGCCAAGTTTATCAGAGAAGAGTGGTGTTAACTGCTAGCTCTGCGGAGTCTTTGATCTGGAGCAACGCAGTCAAATTTGTTATTGATGTGGGTGTGGAAAGAAGAAAGGTAATTACTGTCAACTAGTAAATAGACTGCTGGTAATTGTCAAGAATCAGTTTGTTGGGTTCCTGCCATTTTATTGACCAGAAGGTAAGGAAGAACTCTATGATCTGTACTTGTTCATACGTGTAAAGCATTACTGCAGCCCGCACCTAAGTCTGGCTCACGTGTTACTGTCTGTCATTAGCAGGTTGATAGTCTGGAAACAAATTTGGTTGAGGTGCCAGAGGAGAAAGTTTTGAGGAAAGACACAGCTATGAGAGCACAGAGGGGGTGGTTCTTGTCGGGGTTTAGCTAAGGTGCCAGCAAAGTAAATAATCTGAGTCCTAAATGAATCTTTTCTTGTGTGCATCTACTGGGTATTTCTGGTAACCCCTTTCATCAAAGTGAGTAGCATCTTTCACCAGGTAATTTACTTAGTTTCAAATACACTGACTTCAGTTTTATGAAACTGTAGCTTTATAGTTGACATGACAAAATTCCATTCTAAATTTTTTTAAATACATTATTTTTTATCACTATCTTCAAATAAAATATGAGAAATGGAAATAGAATGTCCCAAACTCTCAAAGACCCTGGAACTTAAGAAGTCATAGTATTTAAGAACTGAAAAGAACCTATCCAAGTATTGATTCCTCATTATCCCTGAAGGAAACCGTGGTTCTCCTAAAATATGTGCCTTACTGCGACAGAGCAATTCCAGCCAGTATGAAGGTTCCCTGGGAACCAGTCTCAACCGATCTTACTGAATTAGTCCACAATTCACAGAAGCCAGGCCTATTGCTTACCTGTTAAACTACCCATAAGACAAATGTGTTAGCTCTGTATGCAGTTTCTGTACGTGCTGATCTGACTGGAAGAGCTTGTTGCATGGTAAAGAGCCGAGACCACTGAGGTCAGTCAGTTTGAACAGGACCTTGAAGAAGCGCAGCACTGTCAGGTGACGATCTTTTCTTCGTGTGGCGGATGAGTGTCTGCCATTCCCAGTGTCGTGCTTGCAGAGGTAACACAGCCCCGGTATTCCAGCAGTGATACAGGGGTCCCATATTTATTAAAGCTACAATGAAAGCAGACAACCTTTCCATCCATTTATCAAAGCACTTGCAGTTTCCGTCTCAAGGCAACTGAAACAACAGTAAATATTGTGCAAAGACAGCACACCTGTGGCGGAGAACTGCCTGAACTGGAGCCCCGCAAGCAGGGCGGTCACTCCCGGTCCTGCGCACCTGCTACATCTTGAGTGATCTGATGCTAAAACTGCTGTCTTTCCGTTTAAAGGTGTACAACCCTAGAATAAGAGCGAACTCACTGGTCATGCAGCCCATCAGCCAGAGCCAAGCAGAGGCTCGCAAGCAGATTCTCGGCTCATCTTCTTCAGGTAGCGCTGTGCACACGACACTAACTGATGTAAAGCAGTGTGAAGGCAACGCACAGACATTAAAACTGTTTTCCTTGGGTTCTTCTAGGAAAACTTTTCTGTCTATACTCTGAAGAGTTTGCCTCCAAAGACATGCGGCCACTTAAGCCCGCTGAGATGCAGGAAGCCAACCTAACCAGCATGGTGCTTTTCATGAAGAGAATAGACATCGTGGGCTTAGGCCACTGTGACTTCTTGAACAGACCAGGTAGCTCCGTGCTCACACGTTAGCAGGCTCGCGGGCCGGGACCCACCCTCCTACCTCTTGCCCACCCCAGTCCTGACAGCACGGGGCAGGGCAGTGCTAGCAAGCCTGGGGATTTGGTTTGTACCGAAGCATTTTTCCCACCAGAGGTTAACGTTCTGTAAAGTAATTTAAAGGAAAAAAACCTTCAGGAAATACCTGTTCTGACGCTGGAGAATTGTCTGCATTGGACAGTGGAGCGCAGGGAGCCTGGGCCTTAGAAATCAGGGGCGCCGGGGGAGTGTGGAAGCCTAAGTAAGGCTGAAGTCAAAGGAGGGTAAAAGTAGGAGAGTTCCTTGAGGGAACATTTGTGAGCAGACGGTTGGCCCTTCCTATGAATCACCTGGGGAAATACACAAGCTGTTCCTTCCTGTGTAATTGAGGTCAGAGTTTTATGTGAAGGGGTGAGTTTCTGAAGCTCAGGACTGAGACTGTGTACTTACAGTCGGAACATCAGCCCCCCAGGACAGCCCTCCTCCCGGGGCCCTGAGGAAAGCCCGCTAGCAGAAGAGGGACAGGCTGCCTCCCTCCGGGCCACACCTGGCAGGGGCCTTTGCAGCTCCTGCAGCTGCCTGCTTACTTGGAAGCCGTAGAATGCTGAATAAAAGGCGAAGGAAATGACAAGGCCGGTGGCTTCCCCAGTGTGGCGGGGCGGGCTCCCAGAGCTGCGGGGCAGTGACCACAAGCTCAGGAGAGGCAGCCAAGACGGTTTCTTCTTAGCCTCCTGGTTTCTCCCGCAGTCCCAGTTAGCATGTCCTGTCTGGTGGGTAAACATTTCTCCAGCTCTGGCTAGTGTCCGGGAGGTGCTGTCGGTATTTAGTTTGAAATGTCAGCCACCAGCTGGTGGAGAGCAGCGGACGCTTTGCTTCTTGCCCATCTGATGCCCGCCTGTCCTCTCAGGAATACAACAATAACATGTTTATGGTCTTTGCTGACATGTTGAATCATTTAACACTGTAACAAGCCTTGGAGGCAAACACTATTATTTGCTCCATTTTACAGAGGAGGAAACTGAGTCACAGAGAGATTAGGTAACAGACACAGGTGGAGAAGGGGAGCAGTGCAGTAGCAGACTCCACTCGGCAACGGCCCGGCACCCTGCTGGCTGGAGCGTCGGAGTCCTCTTTCCTTAGGAAACTCCTCTGGTGGTGCTTAGCCGCCCCCACACCGCCCCCAGAACCAGCCTCAGCCGTGCTGAGGCGAGCTTGGCCCAAAGGCCGCCACCCAGCTCTCAGAGCACCCCCACTGCCCGCGAGGCCAGGCCGCTTGACCTTGGCACCACCGCGTGTTCCCTGACCTGCAGCCTGACTCCCTTGACAGGAAGTGGTGTTTGAGTCCCCACGTGAAGGCTCCTGATTTACAGTACTGTTTGCCCTGCAGTTGATATTTTAGTTTTACTTGTTCTTTAATAAAAAGAACTTCCTTAGTTTTTTCCACACTTTGGGACAGTGGTTGAAATTTTCAGTACGTTTATCAAAGATGGTGAATGATCGTCTCTTAATCTGGATGATGTTATTTATCAAATGTGCAGAGAGAGGAGTCTTCCAGAAGGCGTTGTAAGCAGAGAGCATACTTAAAATGGAAATTGTATCATTTCTACTGCTTTGCAATGCTTTCTCTTAATTCCCGTATTTGTCAGTCATTTTGTCCAGTGGTGACAATAAGATTGGCAAGTACTTGAGAAATATAGGTTATTTTAGAGTTACTCTTTCTCATAATTTCTTATAACTGCTGTTGGGCAGTCCAATGTGGGGAGATCCCCCTTTGCTCTAGGTGAGACCTCAGCCCCGGAGAGGATTCTTGACTGACTAAGAATCAATCCACGAGCGGGCCGGATGAGCGTAGTAAGGAAGGAACTGGGTAAAGGGAGGAGCAGCGAACAGCAGCGGGTGTGCAGGCAGCAGAGAGCAGGAAGAAGAGAGGGGGGAAAGGAAAGCCCGTTGAACTCCTGCTCAGCACGGGGCAGATTCCTCGCCAGCTCCTAAAGCCAGGGTCACCTGGCATCCAGTGTCTGCTTGAGTCTTCACAGTGTGAGAACTAAGCCCCCACCACCCCAGGATTTGGGGAGGCCATGAAGCACTGGATGGCTTGAGATTATGTTCTGGGAACTTCCCAAAGCAAAGAAAGGAGATTTTCAGGCGGGCTGCTAAAGAGCAAGGTCATACAGTTGCAGTCCCATCAGGGACACCCAGGCGACAGGAGCGTGGAAGTCCAAATCAGAGATCTTGGTAGCCCCTCCCTACTTGTCTGAAGTAGGACAGAGACAGTGAAGACTTGTGCTTAAGTCTAGAAAACAATGAAATAGCAAAGTGTGAATGACAAAAAGACGTTTATCACTGGAGATGGAGGTCAGCAAGTTCTCTTTATCATGAAAAAGATTTCAGAGAAGTGAAACAGGCTTATGCAACAAAGTTTATTTGATGAGACAGTACACACTCAGGAGTGCAGGCAGCTTAAGAGAGGAGGCGTGCGTAAGAGTTAGGATTTGGGTTTTTAAGGATTTCAAGAATGGGGTAAAGGGCTAGGGAGCGCGGGCTGACATGCGTTCTAATAATGTCAACTCTGGAGATACTATGTCATCATCCATAGTCAGGCCTCCAGATACTCTGTAAGATAAACTTAACACAAGGAATTTATCAGTCCCATTGTTCTTCAAAGTAGTGGTGACCCTTCGGCAGTGGGAACATCATTTAGGACTACTCACCTGGCCTGAAGACAGGGTCAGGGTCGGTCGTTGGCTAATCGCTGTAAAATATGTCAGGAATCTTACCTCCTAACTCCCTGGTTTTTCAAATGGAAGCTTAGTCTTAAGATGGAGGCCCTCCTGTTTACTTACTATACTAATTATATCTCGGCATTTTTCATCATAAGCAGGAAAAATCAGTCATGATGCTTGTCCCGTGTCCCTGCCCCACCTCATAATGACCAGTAGAATTTGGAGTAAGTAGGGGGAGGGCCCCCTAAAGATGCTAACCTTTGAAAAAGAAAGATGGAAAGGGAAATAGACTGTGAGCAGTTTATCGTCATAAGAACAGTGCAGAAGTGGCTGCAGGAGTTGACTGTGGCTGTGCCTGCGGAGCAGCGTCACCTGCCGCGTCTCCAGGCACCACCTGGTGTCTCAGCTGGAGGGCGGTAGGCAGATCACACTCTTTGACAATGCGGTGTCCGTCCCTGGAACCCTAGGGACTTTTACACTGAAACTCTCCCAACAAATACTGTGATAGATCAGTTACTAAGGGAAACCTTTGGAATCTTAAATTTTCCAGGCAGACTGTTACCTAAAGAGCAGTGGGGTGTCTGATAGGGGAAGGGGCCAGATGAGCCCCTCACTCTCCTAAGGTAGACCTATGCCCTAGTGGCCACTCCCTCCTGTTGGCTATCTGTTCCTACAGGAAGAGTTGCAGACTACAGTTATGCCAGACTGCACGGTGCCCCTGCCCCATTTGCTGCAGGCTGTGCAAAGTCTGCAGGAAAATACACGGTGCCTCTGGAAGCCACAGCAAAGGGGGTGGGCTGGGCGTGTGGAGCCCTGGAGGAGGCTGTTCTTGAGGCGGTGGCAGTGGCTGCCCTCAGGCTTGGGGGATCTGATCTCAGAGCATGAATTAGGAAGTTCTTTTCCAGAATAAGAAGAGGAAGAGGCTGGGGAAAGCAGAGGCAGAGCTCAGAGGCACACAGGAAAGAGAAGCCTACATGGAATGTACACAAAGACGACCTTGGCATTTAGGTCCCCAGGACAATTAGTGCATCACCTGGGCGACAGCCAAGCAGACCCAGTCTTAATGGCTGACTGTGAGGGCGGTAGCCAGCTTTGGCTTATAGTTTCCCCTCCTGAGAAAAGAACTCATTAGGCCTGGCCCCTTTCTGATTAGCCTAAGAAGTGGATATACTTGTGGTAAATACACCTATCTAAAAAGGAGTGGCTCTGAAGAAAGAGTCACAGAATGTGATGTCAAGTTGTAAAATGGATGTGGCAGACTCAGACCCAGTGCATTTTTCTTTTGTAGACATTGTTGGGGTGACAAGAATTTTAGCAGGTTAGAAAGGGGATAAGGTGGGGGTGGGGAAGTGGGTCTTGTGGCCCAGACGAGAGGAGACACTGGGGCGCATTCTGTCGGCTGTGATCCCTGGACTTTCGTAGAGCAAAGCCACCCCCCTCGTAGCTTTCCCTCCAGTCCCTGAGGGAGGAGGGTCTGGAAGGTGAGGGACTCTGCCGCTTGCATCTGTTTCTCATTTCTCACTGGTCCTCAGAGCTTCAAATGGCTTGGCTTTTGTCACAGGCCGGCCGGCCAGTGACCCCTCCAGAGACCCTCCTCTGAAGAAGCGTTCATTTCTGCCCTCTGCTCAGCCCTAAAGCCCGAGATTCACCCTTGGCCTCGGCATCGTCTTGTTTTGATGGTAGATGTTTGGAGGATCAGCATGCAGGGGGAGGAAAAGCAGGCTTTGGAATGGCAACGATTTTAAAAAGCAGACAGCAAACCATAGCCGTGGTTTTGCGCGTTCCCAGTGGCCGCCTCTGCACAGCTTACTGGTGAGGTTTAGAGCTAATAACTGGGGACAAGGGATCAGTGTAACAATTTATTTTTGTCTCCGGACAGTACAGACATAACTATTTGCTGCTGCGCTTGGGAAAATATAACTGTGGATTAACTCTGACTCATCATTTTAGAAGGAAAAACAAAGTGCTTGCGGCTGCCACATTTAATTCAGCGTCTAACTGAAATGCACACAGGCAGCAAACCTGTTACCCTTTTCAGGATTCATGGACCGTGTGGAAATGAATCTGGCCTAACTAGGCTACAGGCTATTAATTGAATCCCCTTGATATAAAAAAGAAACAGTTATTTTCCCTTTCCTGGTGCCGAGGACTGACCTCCATTGAGAGCGACAGTCACTGCTGCTGTGGGTCAGGAAGCTTAGGACTAACTGACCACCTCAGGAAGCAGGTGGCCCTGGACGTCCTTCCT